GAGGTCAAGGAGACCTCCTGCAGACAGGGCAGATGACAAGTCATCTGATGACCTAACTAGGATGACCCTGGTCTTTCATCTTCTCTAACACATGAGTTTATCATTTACAATTCATCCATTTATGTCCATCATGTTCAGTGCATGTGTCATAACCCACCCCCCTCTTAAGACCGGTGCCACTCTGCATATGTAGTGACTATTTGGGTAGGTTTAACGTAGTAGACTCCTCCCCCACATACATGTGCATGTGGGTTGAGTCTGCTAAAGAAAATCTACCCAAACAGTCCTCACCTGCCCATCCTCCCCACTGTGGTTCTGACTTGAATTGCTTTTGAAAAGGATGAACATGGTGGTGTGACCACAATGCATTAGGGGACGTCAGGATGCACTATGGGTGATCAAGTCTGCTGTCCACATCTCACTTGAGGGTTTTCGAGTTGGGAGGTTCTAACACGGAAAAAGCACTGCCTTTTTGGCCTGTCAATTTGTTTAAACTGTTTATCTCAAATCAATAAGATTAAGCAACTATTGGTTTAATCCTTTGTTTATCTAAATTCTTATCAATTGGCGTAAGTTTTTTGAAAGAAATTTCTTAAGGATTAACTTCATTTTTACTTTAAAAATACTTTAGTTCAGGTTTTCCATTTTGTATAACCACTTCATGAAGTTTTAATTATGAAAAAAGACCATTGGAAAGCAGAGAACAATAATTTCAGGAGTGCAAAATTTACGTGCTGCTGTGTACATGTACATGTGTCCACTAATTGACACTTTTAACATTTACTTTCATGGACATTTTCATGGACATTATTTTTTTTTGTTTTTCATGACTTGATGCCCCACTTATCTGATGTAAAACAATATGTCATTTACTGGTGGTTTTAGGAATTGTCATAGTTTCATCCCTTGAAAAAATGACGAAAATAACAAATTTACTGAATGTATCAGTTTTAGGACATGTTATATTTTCATCTCTTGAAAAAGTAACAAAATTCCTTGTACTGGATTTACTGATGGGTCATTTCAACCCTTTAAAAAATGACAAAAAAGACAAAGTTTCTGGAAAGTACTGCTTTGAGGATGTTATATTTTCATCTCTTTCATTCCTAGCACGGGTGTTACGAGTTTGCTCATTCTGGCCTTTTTTATGAGTTTTGCTTTTTATTTTATTAGAATGAGTGGAAATTTATTTTACTACTTTTATGAGTTCAACTATTTCAATGAGAAATGAAAAGAAAACACATGAGAAATGACAAGAAGAACATTAAGAGAGAAAGAAGTTCTCTTCAAATATTTGTCGGTGTGTATTTCTATGTGTACTTGATTTTATTGGTTTCTAAGATTTTACTTGAAATTGTTGGGGAAATAAAGTTTTGGGAAAGATAGTATCCATTTTGAACTTAAACTGTGAGAGGGAAAATGAACAAGTTGAGAGATAAAATGTGAGAGTGGTTTGGGGGAGATATAACTTTTGTAGATGGGAAATATATAACAGAAAAACCCTATAGCTTCAAAAAATAGCCAAAGTTATATGCAGCAGCGCCGCAAAAACCTACACTTTTAGACCCCATTTTTTATAGCATGATTCATTTGTCCGTCATTGCCCGCACTCATTGAACAGTTTACAAAGCCCAGTGCATGTGGGCACAGCTTCCCATTCACTCACCGCACGTTGACCGTCAATCACTCTGCATAGCAACACAGCAGTACAGCAATGCGCTGGGCCAGGTCCCGAAACAAAAGAGCCCTTATGTAAAACTTCACAATGGGGGCTCTATATACGGAGCGGGTGGCTCGGCTGCAAAACTAAAGGGTCAATGGAAGTTGCTTGTGAGGGCTAGACTCGCCACGGGACAACCATTTTATGGGGTTTAGGCGTTCAGAAAAAACAATATGAATTTTTGAAGATTTTTGAAAAACTAAAATATGAAAAAACGGCCTGGCAATGCATAAAAAAGTTTTTAAAAAGCACCCGGCAGCAAGTGGTTAATATCTCTAAAAATAGTACACCGCACACAGTATTAAGTGCAGATTCTGATAGACAGGGCCACAATACATAGATATAGCATGCAGGTCTATACCTACCTTAAAACAAAAGATGTGGGCCTCCAAATATGGTCCAAAATTTACTGTGCAATTCCCGGATCCCAAAAGTGGGTGTGGCACCCAAACTTTGCCGTACCCGCTGCTTCACCTGACTCGGACCGGCCAGCTGACCCCGGCAAGCTCGGTGGGCGAGTGGTTAAG